TAAACACACACTTTTAAACAGGCTCCACGCTCCCTGCAATATAGACAAACATTACTATTACTAACTTTTCTCGAATTTGTTACGTTTAGGTCGATGGAAGTATCCAGGTATATGACCCTAACAACAACATAACTCGATATGAAGTCAAAAGACCAATAATAACTCCAGCACAAAATCAGACACAACGGACGCCAAATAGAAGAACGGGTATATTCTCATCATGCTATACCAGACAAACATCGAGAGAAAGTTGAGATGAAAAGACGCTACTAATTAACCTTTCTCACGCCGCCATTTTTGGGCGGCTTTTCAGCCGGAAGAGATTATTTCGCTGGCCTCAGAGTGACAAAACGTAACAAAGCAACGGTTTTACTAACATTAACCCTACTCCAAACACCAACTCTAACCCTAATCCTGATCCTTACCCTAACCTAACCTAACCCTACTCCAAATTCGTTTCTAAACCAATTTTGAAGAAAAAAGTTTTGACGAAATGTCAGTCTGAGGTCAGCGAAATAGTTGATGCCTTTTCAGCCGAAATCTGCGAGATAAGTCCACATAACAGAGCATATTACCAGCAGCATTTGATACCAGCAACATTGCTGATGGGATTTTTAACAGTTTAAATAAAGTATTTATTTATTTATTTATATTGATGGTAAATTTGCGGTTGTAAATGGTTAGTTTATTTTGATTGTTTTAATTGTCTGCATTGGTTAAGGAGAATTAGATGCACAAATTGGCGGATATTCGTCATCGCGAGAAAGGCTAATTGGTTTTGACTTCAAAATCTAAGTGACTGGATAGACTACACCACGACGAAAGAAGTTTGTTCAGAAATTGGAATGAAGTGTTAAGGAGGGAACGAAACAGAAATATAAATTATTTGAATGCTTGTTAATTTATTGACGATTTAACTACCAGTTTTGAAGTGCAATAGTAGTTAATTTATGTGAACTAACGTATTAGGTTTTTCAATTCAACCTATGGAGAAAGTAAGAGAATATTTCTCAAATATAATATTATAAACAATTATTGGATAAGTTTTTTGTGATATCGCTTTCAGCTAGACTGATAGCGCTTATCTCAAAACCTTAGACATGAAATAGTATATTAAGTTGTTATAGTGTACATATAGCTAGTTATCAAATAATAATTAAAATTAATCAAATAATTAAAGTGTGTGTTCATTGTTTTTATGGCATTGATTGTGATATTAAGGAATGTGATATTATCGAGTGAGGAGCGAAGTGGAAGTCAAATATAATGTGAATTAAGTCAATTAACCTCGTTATTGAAAGAGCCAAGTATATTTGAAAATACAACGTACTGTAACATAACATATACGTGTTTCAATGCCAAATACATCTCCACAAAACAACCTCAAATCGATATCTTCGATCACGAATTCTTATTCCGATGTATTCTTTGAGTTCCTACCCCCACACGGAAACAGTCTAAGCCGCAAAAGTGCAATATATTACAAAGCGCAATGCATGAGGGAATATTTATAATTCGTATGAAAAAAAATTCTTTTTATGCTGAGCAGATTCGTGTGTTTCGTATTTCAATGCACAGGAAAGGCAAATATTCGAAAACTCTGAAAAATACGACTGATGTGTCTATATCTAACTCCACGTAATCTTTGAGAATGCATGATCATGACGCTCACTGTGCACAAACAGAAAACCACTCTGAAACAATGCATTTTTCAATCCTGCAATCAATATATTGTATTCATTGTATATTTCATCTATATATTTCACAAATGAAAGTGGTATATATCATTGGTCATTGGATCATCCACATTTACGCCCGTATTCTAAAAGCTCACTCACACTCAATGAGTGGAGGTTCAATCTGACTATGATCTGAGCTTCCTTTGAGTGACACTCAAGAGAAGCTCAGATTGATCTCCACTCATTGAGTGTGAATGAGCTTTTAGAATACGGGCGTAAATTTAATAATTGCTATTAATTTTTGAAATTTTGTAATTTGACACTGATTTGGTTATCTGGAACGCCCGCTTGCCGTTGGCTGTTGCATGGTCATCTGGTAGTTATTAGAGCGAGAAAATAATTTTAAGTTTGTTTTATTTACATTCTGTTGCCTCACGATGCGAAGTATCTGCAAACCAAACCCACTAATTAAGAGTATAATTTTTGTACGAGTGGCTAAAATGAAGTGGTTTGTTTCTACTCTTGATATTAGTTTTTGAGTTACTTTCGTCTTCCGTTTGCAACATACGACAGACCGTTCGACAAACATAAGGTTACTACTACGGCCCACATCATACGCGTCTTATGATGTAATGGAAAGTACAAAACACGTCAAGACTCAAGTGCATGCGAACATCTCTCGAATGTCTCTTTCGATTCCGCCTCAGATATAGATGAATGTCATCCCGAAAAGACCAATATGTGCATCATCTTGTTCTTGACCTTGGATAGAGCAGGGGTTGTCCACCGAAACGAAATCACATGATTCACGCCTGACAAATACTTAGGTCAACAAAGTAAACATGCTTGCTGTGCAATCATTACCTGTGGTGCAATGAACAAACCAAACAGAATTTGTTTCACTAAAATGTCTAAATAAGGTATAAGATTATGTTTTTATAGAAGGGTCTAGTCATTCTAGATTGTATCCATAGACATAAATCACCAAGTTAGACCTTAGGGAAAGTCCCGAGATTAAAATAATGTGCAATCACTAACTGTTGTGCAAACCAAACAGAATTTGTTTCACTAAAATGTCTAAATAAGGTATAGGATTATGTTTTTATAGAGGGGTCTAGTCATTCTAGATTGTATCCATAGAGATATTAAATCACCGAGTTAGACCTTAGGGAAAGTCCCGAGATTAAAATAATCATCCTACATGGTACGAGGTTGTAAAATAATAAGCCTATATAACTGCCTTTATCGTAAACAAGTTTCAGAATATATGTGGAGATATCTTAAATTGCTGAAGTATTAACATCAATACAGCTGAAGTATTATAAAGGTAAGTTTGCTTTAGTTTCAATACTACATTCACAACAATTTCTGTTGTTTCAGTTAAGTCCGATTATTACCATTAAACGATTAGTTGGCTATTATATCGAATTATACTATATTTTATTGAAGAGACGACGCTTTAAAGGTACGCGATTTGTCGTGTATGAGGTGTGCATGTAAAGATTCGTATTCTAATACAGAAAGGGAAGGGTTTTAAACATGAAGGTCAAGCAAAGTGAGAGATTGAGAATTCCCTTTTTCCGTCTTGTGTGGTCTGCTATAAACCACGTCAATCTTAAGCGCGAACTTTGTTTACGTTTTGAACTGGTATATTTGTAAAATATGATATACTAACTGAATATCTAACACTTTTCTGGTTCGCTATACTTGTAAACTAGAAGTTACTATCGCAAGGAAAGTGCTGCCTCACCTCCAACGGATGAAATGAATATAAACTGGACGTTTCAATTCAAAAAAGTTTGAAAGATGCAAAATTTGGGCAATGTTTATATCTGGGGTCCCTTTGTTATGAGCAGAACTGATGCCCAGAACGGAGTGGACATCATCTTAACGTCTCGGAATACTCGAATACATGCGATAGAGTTTATATCCAAACAAACATGTGGAACCATGTTCAGCATTGGTTATATGTTTCTATGTGTATTATATTGAAGTAAATATTACTTAAAAATCTAATTAATAATTCACGAGGAAAATACAAAAGAAATTAATGTTTAATCAATGTTTGTATAAATCGGATAAAGATTTGTCCTGATCTTACATAAACTTCAGCTTTGATTTTCTCGGGTTAGACAATGTTTATTTTTAAAATTACTTCGCCAATGAATTCATAAGATGGGTCGCATTTTAAGCGCGTTAAAACATTCGCATCTGATCTTTATCCGATATATTTTATCTGCATGATATACAGCTATTTCAATTAAGGTTGTCCACGAGCAAAGAGGAAAAGTCGAATACGAGCGCGAAAGGCTGCTGGGAAACGTTAACAAATTAATGAATTTTCAAAGATTCCCAACAGCCTTTCGCGCTCGTATTCGACTTTTCCGCTTTGCTCGTGGACAACCTTAATTGAAATAGCTGTATATCTATATCTTTATCTGATGAGCTATACTTGTGGTGATCTCACATCAACTTATCAATCATTTTCAAAAGTAGTTGGAACACCTGTATTTTAACCAGAGACGTCAATAAGCACAGTTTTGTTGTTTTGTTACACATAATCTACGTATAAATCCCTCCCCTACCATGCACCCCCAATGTTGGAACGCCCTGACGCATCAAATGATATGCTAAATGCCCACATAATGTCGCAACACAAATTATTCATGTTGTTTCAAGCATTCCTAACATACACAAAACTACATGATATCCTCTTATTCCGCTTCGGGTTTTAGACCTATTGCTCACCATAGAATCAGAAGGTAGAGACTTTTCTGGGCTACTTGTCGTGATTTCACAACGTCAACTGTCAACCATTTTCAACAATTTTACTCGTCAAGTGGAGAGTGCTGCATTGTCAATAAGTACTAAATTACAGTTTGTTGGAACTAAGACAGAGAAAAGAGAGAGAAAAACAAAACTTCGGTGTTGATAACTTTCAATATCACGCGAAAAATTATTAATTATTGTCGTAATAGATTTTTTGAAGTTTAGTAAATTTCATGTCCGCGTTTTCCACCTGACATGCGTGTCCGCGGCGTTTTCCACTTGACTTGCGTGTCCGCATGTCCGCGTGTCCGCATGTTCGCGTGTCCGCATGTCCGCGTTTTCCACCTAACCCTAACGCATCAAATGTTATAGTAAATGCCCACATGTCCTAACACATTTGAAAATGATTGTTGTCCCTAGCATTCCTAACATACTTCATGATTTCATTAATACTATTTACCAACATTTACACATTAATCATACACACAAAACTACATGGTATCCTCTTATTCCGGTTTGAATAGTCATTTCATAAGCATTTAAATGGATTTAAAGTTTCCTATGCGTAATATGCACGTGTAAAAAACTCGACAGGAAAACACCCTAATTAACGAAATATAATATTTCACGAGTGTTGACTGTCAAAGTTTCTGTGATCACAGTAGGAACCTTGCATCGGTCAGTTAAATTCTAAGTTTTGAAGGATTTGTAAGAAATGTTTGAGGCGACTGACTAATGTGTTCTAACACCGAGTCAATTCCCTCAAACATTTCTTACCAATCCTTCAGAACGTAGAGTTTACCCATGCAAGATTTCTACTGTGAACTTTGACAGTGTAAATAAATTGGCCTCATGCGGAAGGAAGTCCCTCAGTCTGATTTGGGGTGGGACAGGAAATTGAAAGAAAAATAGGAATTCTTTCCGGCTTAAAGGTGCTAAAACAATCGGGAAATCCTGTATGAGATTACTGCAAAACTAAAGATTAAACTAAATTGATAGAAAAAGATTAAGTTAATTTGATAGAAATGAGCAACTGTCAAATAAGGAGAAAATCATGGGTTTTACTATCAGCAATATCGTGCGGCAGATGCTGGTCAACCTACAGACGTTCTAGACAAGTAAATATTTGTATTCATGCTGACAAGTCAACAGAATTGCGAGATTTAATTTTCTTCTTTCTATACTGAATGTCAACATTTCTAAAGTTGAACACCATCTGCTGGCCTGTAAAGGCTGGTTGAACACCGAGGGAGTTGCTACAAACATTTCTTATAAATCCTTCAAAACTTAGACTTTACACATGTAAAATTCCTACTTAAAATTCCACTCATTGAGGAAAGTGTTTAACACAGACTCGAGCTGTTCCCTCAAACATTTCTTACAAAGCCTTCAAAACTTTGCCCAGGCAAAATTCCAACTGTTGTGATCACAGAAACTTTGATAGTGTAAACCAGACTTAAGAGTTTGTATATAGAACTTGTTCCACGTGATTTTAAAGGAAGTCCTTCAGTCTGATTCGGGGTGGGGTGGGGTGGGGTGAGATGGGAAATTGAAACATAAATAGATTTTCTTTCCAGTTTAAACGCACTGGAACAAATCCTGTATGAGATTAAACTAATTTGATAGAAAATGAGCAACTGTCAAAGAAGGAGAAAATCATAGGTTTCACTGCCGTGCAGCAGATGCTGGTCAACCTGTAGACAAGTAAATATTTGTACTCATGCTGACAAGTGACAGAATTGAGAGATTTACATTTCGAAAGTTGATTACCATCTGTTGGCCTGTAAAGGCTGGTTGAACACCGAGTCCATTCCCTCAAACATTTCTTACAAATCCTTCAAAACTTTGAATTTACCCAAAATTTCTACTGTGATCACAGAAACTTTGAACACTAGTAAACCTAGCCTTATAGTGTGGAAGCAATTAGCCTTTCCCACACCGCCATGTTTGGGTGGCAACCTTTTTTAAGAAGTGAAAATGAAACTTTCTATAACTATGGTTGCAAGTAGTAAAATCATTATCTAAATTGATTTACAGTTGAATATTTGAAAAATTATTTTCACATGGCTTAGATTTTTCACGTTGTTTATAAAATAGTACTACAAAATGGCAGATTTAGACCTGCGTGAGAAATGCTAATTGGAAGCAATTCAATAAACTGGCTTGCCAACAGGATGATTTCTCTTCACTAAATTAAAATTCCACGCATTGAGGAAATCTTGTACGAAATGAAAGTGAAGTGCATTTCAAATCACGCACAGACATTGTGTCATAAATAAATAACGCCTGCCAGCATTACTTTCAGACTATGTTTATTTTAATACTGTATCGAAAGTACTTGAATGCCAAGTATGTTCATACCCTGATCTGATAGGTTAACACAGATTACGCCCATGTACTTAACAAAGACCGACATCCGGAATTAAACTAATTTTTTGTTCCTTGAATTTCGCTATAAAGAACTGCATGTTCTGTGTAGTACTACAGTTGTAACTTATACATCAAGAAGGGAGCAAGCCCTAGTAGCTCTAAGCTAGGTAGGTAGTACTTGTATTGTATACTATACGTGGATTTCACGAAGAGAGACAGTGCTACACACGATGGTCAACTCCGAAATGAAAGATATAGTGATCACAGTGACAGACTACATGGTTCAGTACATGTACTGTCTGTGTTTAGTGACAAGCACATGTGACTGCAAACATTTCGCAACATTCGTTCGCTCGCCCCGATGAAGCGAGGAGTTGATGAGAGTTTGCAGTCAGGCATTTTTACTGGGGACATTTCAAGCTCTAGATTAACAAAATAAAGTGATGTGTGTTCAACTACGAGTGCTTTATGAAAAGTAATGAGCGAAACTTATAGTTGAACCAAGGTCGCGTGACTTCTTCGTTTGATCTGGATGGATGCCTTTCAAGTTGAGCAGCATGTTGTAGCACAACAAAGCTTCCTCATACACAACAACCAAGATCTTTTACTTTACTGAATGTATTAATCAATCTTATTTGTCATTTTAGATCGACGTCAGTGCAATATGGCGACAGCGGGGAGCACATTACCAGCGAGCACATTACCAGCGAGCACATTAGCAGTGAGCACATTACCAGCGAGCACATTACCAGCGAGCACATTAGCAGTGAGTGAGGTCAATAAAGACCAGAGGCAGAGCATTAAATTGATCGAAATACAAGAATTATCAAGATTGCAAAACGAGAAAGACGAGGTATGATATATACTAGCTGGATACTTTGATTGCTACTATTCACAACATATAGCTAATTATTACTGACGAATTACTTATTTTATAATTGGCTAATTAACTCGCTAATTGATACATTAAAAAATAAACTTACTACCCTCAACTACAACCAGCATATTGCTAGCTAACCAAAGTGCAAACTTTCCTCAAAATTATTCAACAAAGGGACCGCGGAACCGGGGGGCATGCCCCCCCCCCACTTTTTTGACGGATAAAAAAAAATACCGGATAGGCTCCACGCTCCCTGCAATATAGACAAACATTACTATTACTAACCTTTCTCGATTTTGTTACGTTTAGGTCGATGGAAGTATCCCGGTATATGACCGTAACAACAACATAACTCGATATGAAATCAGAAGACCGAAAATTGACAGTGAACAATGTGATGGGAAAAATAAAGACAGAATAACTACAGCACAAAATCAGAGACAACGGACGCGAAATATATTCTCATGCTATGCCAGGCAAACATCGAGAGAAAGTTGAGATGAAAAGATGCTACTAATTAACCTTTCTCACGCTGCCATTTTTGGGCGGCTTTTCAGCCGAAATCTGCGAGATAAGTCCACATATAACAGCGACTTTTTATAGTTTTTTGACGAATAATGGTAAATTTGCGTTGTAAATAGTTAGTATATTTTGATTGTTTTAATTGTCTGCATTGGTTAAGGAGAATTAGATGCAAAAATTGGCGGATATTCGTCATCGCGAGAAAGGCTAATTGGTTTTGACTTCAAAATCTAAGTTACTGGATAGACTACACCACGACGAAAGAAGTTCAGAAAATGGAATGAAGCGTTAAGGAGGGAACGAAACAGAAATTATTTGAATGCTTGTTAATTTATTGACGATTTAACTACCAGTTTTGAAGTGCAATAGTAGTTAATATATGTGAACTAACGTATTAGGTTTTTCAATTCAACCTATGGAGAAAGTAAGAGAATATTTCTCAAATATAATATTATAAACAATTATTAAATGAGGTTTTTTTTGTTATCGCCTTCAGCTTGACTGACAACGCTTACCTCAAAACCTTAATATCATAAAAACCTCATCCAATAACTTGAATATTTATACATAAGATATGAAACAGTATATCTTTCAAGTTGTTAGTGTACATATAGCTAGTTATGTAAATAATAATTAAAATTAAAAGTGTGTGTTCATTAAATCCGTTTCTTTATTTTAATGTCCGGTGTTTTCACGGCAACTATCAAATAGCAATCTTCATAGTAAAAATGACAAATTTTAAAAAGAAAGCAATTTAATCGCTTATCATTCCATTAAAATTAAATATACTACAAAGTACAATTATACATGAGAGTAAAATTATTGCTGTCTACAAACAGTTTAGGCTAACTAGAACAAAAAAATTAAAACAGTTCATTACACATGTTAAGTCGATGGAAATTACGAAACTGTCCAGCGATATTTTGAAGTGAAAAGTTTGAATTAACACTTTTTCGAAAACCGAACTTGTAAAAAATTGAAACGTCCCTGGTGTTTGTATATTCATACCTGACAACAGGATAGAGCTTTCCCAGTTCCTGACTTTGGGTTTTCCAAATAAAGTTCTTAAAACAGGAAAATTTGATTGTACAAAACAAAATCGTGAATGAAAGGCGTTATTTTCATGGTAAGGGCCCATTCACTCATAAAGTATATGATATATGTGAACTATTTCTGAATCTTTTGTTTGCTAAGGCAAGTGGTCCTCAGAATCGCGAGATCTTTCTTTCATATTTAGCAATACATTTTTATTGCAATTTTATTATTTATGGTTATAGAATAAAGCCCTGCGCAAATAACAAAGAATTGTTACGGAAACATTGTGTCCTAGCTAAGCTCCCGAAGGTGGGCAAACCAGGAACCATTGTGTCCAAGCCATGTTTCCAGATGTTGGGCAAACCAGTAGACATTGTTTCCGCAACAAAACTCACACTTGGTAAACAAAACATGCTTCTAAATTCGTTGGAAAATATTGTTTGCTTCCTAAGAAGAAAATTGGTATTTTTCCAAAAATTGGTAAAGTTTTCAAGAGAGAAAAATGTTGAAACATTTAAGGAGCATTGGTATTTTCAAATATTTGCGCCACAATGTTTTCCATAAGTGAACTTCACTACGTGGGAAATTGAAGCACATGGTGCTCAACTCTAACACCTGTACTCTAAAAGCTCACTACACTCAAAGAGTGGAGATTCAATCTGAGCTTCCCTTGAGTGTTAGTGCTGTTTTTGAATAGCTGAAGGGTTATAAGAGAAGCTCAGATTGAACCTCCAGTCTTTGAGTGTGAGTGAGTGAGTACAGGCGAAAGAGGAAAGACAATTAATCCTCCACATCTTGTACACTAGGTGGTAAATACATTGAATGAAATATTTCGTTTGCTTGCTATCGTAAGTGTCAATAGAGAGTTTAAGATATTCAAAACAAAGAAATTCTTGATGGAAGACAAAAAGTATGAATAAATTTGTGGTTCCAAGGGTATCCTCAACAGCGTTGTCATTCTGAATACAACGTTAAGCTAAGCACAATCACGTCTTCCAGCAACGTGAAAGTTTATTACGACGTTAGATGTGTTACATAAAGTCAACCTTATTGCAAACACTACCGATCGTTCTCCTCAACTTAGCTGTTTGTTAAGCCCTGGGCAAACTAGGAAACATTGTTGTGGAAACATTTGTGATTCTCGATGTTTCCTCAAATGTTTCCCTGTTTGCCCACTCGTGGGTTTATTGTTACCGAAACAAAATTTGCTTCCCGAGAAGCAAAAATGTTTCCTAGCAAATTCAGAAATATTTGATGTTTCCCTATGTTTCTCACTAATGTTTCCGCAACAATGTTTCCTATTTTGGCCAGGGTTTTGTCAAGCGTTATTACAGTAATCAAAGTACTTAGCGCTCATTCTTGAGCTGAAATTCAGACCGCGTCGTAGTTGAGTTTGCTGTGTCGTAGATCTTAAACTCTCTAGCACGTTTGAAGTTTAGCAGCATACTGTCTAGCACAACAAAGCTTACTCACAACACACAACAACCAACATCTTTTACTTTCCTGAATGTATCAATAAATTTGTCATTTTAGATTCACGGTCGGTGCAACAGAGCTTTCAATCTCTGACGAAGGGATTAGTATCTGAAGTGTCGTACACTTCATCCTCGTCGTCGTTATATTCCGAGGTATCGTATTTCAACACCGTGTGATGTGTTGGGGACTGGAAACGAGAGAATGTCTTGCGTTTCACATCCTTGATGACGTCAGCAGGTGTGGCTCCATGGCGATGGTAACGATGGACAAAGTAGAGGATAATTAGGATCACAAGGATACATAGTAAGACACCAACGACGATCCCCGCTGTGTTGGGTGAACTGCTGCCCCCATGCTGTGAACCCACTGTAAGAGATGAATGTTGAATGAATGAATGATAGAAGGTTTAAAGCTGCGTTGTTTACACTGTATGGTCTGTACCGGCCACGGAACTGAATAGAACTGGAACGCTACCTCCAACCGGAAATGTGAAGCCAAATTCTTGTTGTCATGCCCAGTCTTTTCATGCATGCGAAGAGCGCTCGATCAGTCAATCATGTCATAAACACGCGTGATCTTTCCTCCAGACATGCGTGTCTGTGATCTTACCTCAGACACGCGTGTCTGTGATCTTTCCTCCAGACAAGCGTGTCTGTGATCTTACCTCCAGACACGCGTGTCTGTGATCTTTCCTCCAGACACGCGTGTCTGTGATCTTTCCTCCAGACACGCGTGTGTGATCTTTCCTCCAGACACGCGTGTCTGTGATCACACGCGTGTCTGTGATCTTTCCTCCAGACACGCGTGTCTGTTATCTTACCTCCAGTTCCAGTAAAATTTGGCTTCAAGAAAAAAGATAGGCAGTTTACTACAGGTAGCGTTCCAGTTATATTCAGTTGAACGGTACCGGCACAGATTAAGAGATCCTCTTATAATCTGTGGTGGATAGCTTTCCATAGCGACGTGAAAAAACAGCTACCCTACCTTTTAGGAACGCTATTTTCAGAGGAATTATTGCAACGGAGAGATGTTGTTTCGCTCAGCTTCTGAAAGTTGTACATTCCGTATGGGACACGTGATTTTTCACGCCACTATGGAAAGCTATCCCGTATAGTGTACACCTAGCCTTAGGTATTTTGTTATTCATGGTGAAGATATTACCAAGATATGTTTTGCATCTACTGTAAAGCTTAGCATAAGAATTTAGAATAAAGAACAGCGATGAGGGAAGTTAGGGAGTAAATATTATACAGTGATATATATCAAGGATATTTTGTTGTGCTACATATATCACCACTAAATACTGTACTTCTGTAATGTCAGGGTAAAAAGATGGGAGAAAGGAATGATGCAATCAAGAAGAACAGACGAAGTAGTACTATACACATTGCTTCACAATTTTTAACAACAAAACAAATAAAAATACTCACAATTGACAGTCGTTAGGAATGCTGTAGCACTGGTATCGCCATGAACATCACTTATCTTACACCTGTACTCCCCAATGTCGTCTTCGTTCACATTATTAATAACCAGTTGTCTGTTATTATCCAGGATTTTATATTTTTTGCTAGCAGTGAGAATGTGGTTGCCTTTAGACCACGTGATATGTTGTTCATTCAGAGTGACGCCATAGCAATAAAATGTCGCCGACCCACCGAAAGTCGCTTGTGTATTTTTTGGCTTTTTGAAAATAAACGGACAGGCTAAAAGGTTACAAAAAGTATTTCCTCGTTGAGTACTGGCGAATAGTTTTATTAAACAAGCAAGTAAGTAAGTATTCTGCTTCAAATTGCAAGCATACTCGAGATAACTGTTATCAAGGAACACTTAGCATTATTTGATATAGAGTTTTGCGGGAAACAAAGGATGTGCTGGGGACATGCAAGATCTACTAGGGACTTGCGGGACATGGAGAGTGTACCGGGGAGTTGCAGGATATGGACGATATACTGGGGATTTACTGGAAATGAAGGATGTACTGGGATTTGCGGGGCATGCAAACACTCTTATACCGTAAAAGTGCGAAGGGTTCCCCCTGCTGATCTCACCGAATTAAAAGCTGACCCCCTCCCCAAGGCAATAGAGAGTTTAAACTTCCAATACCAATACCAATACCAATACCGATGTTTTCACTTCCGTTCTCATTTTGGTACCGGGAATTTTAAAGCGTTAAGTTATCACGACAGATAAATATAGAACACATTAATCGTCACCGAAAATGTGCGGTATACTAAATGGCAGCTGAGCTAAAATTCCGACTAAAACATGACTCAGGCGATGCTAATAAACAAATAGTATACTTGTTTATCATAAAAATCATGAAATATCCGATTTATATGAGTTTATCTTACAATTCCCCCGACTTCCAATACAAGGCGACTTCGGTAGTGGTGACTTCCAATACACTTGTCCTCGTGCTTCTTGCGAGCAGAGAG